ATCAACCATTTCAAGCTTCTAAATCGTAAGTACTCTTCCCTATACTTCATATCTAGTTAGGACTCATGCTTAGAGACTTGAAAACATCAAGAACACAAGATCAAATGGAGTTTACGGCCAAGCCATCTCCCAAGGCCGTAAACCCCTTAAAGGTTGCCATTTTGGCCATAAACCCTCCTAGATGCAAAGCTAGTGACCCAGGACCCTTCATGGATGAGATTAGGACCTTAAACTACTCTCATAAGCATAAGTGATTATGAGTTTACGGCTGTAAACACCTTTGAGCCGTAAACTCATCAAAAGCCTCCTTTGGGTTGGTCTTTCCCATCCTAGTGTAGAGCAAAAGTCCCTGAAACTTCCCTAGCCTTCAAACTTACACTTATACACGAGTGACCATGATATTGTGTCTCGGAACTTCATTCGTGGAACTTCTCATCCTTACACGCATACCCGTTTGAATCACCCACATCAGGTGAGTTCATACCCCGTAATGAATCTTTTAACTGTTTTAAATGTTTTAAGAGGGGAATACAAGTTGAACACAATGATAATTGTGTAAATGTTTGTTATAAACATCTTTCAAAATGTTACTTATGTCATTTATAAGTTGTCAAAACATTTCAAAAACTCTTTTAAAGTTATGTTACTTTATAGTTATACAAAACTCCGTTTTTAAAGTACAAGCATAACTTAGTAGATAAACGAGTCTTTTCAATAACAGTTCAAGTAAAACATTAGTAAACTATAATAGGTATAGTTTAGGAGAATGCTATTCATTACTTCTAGTATAATGAAGCACACAAAGAGTCAGTTCATACATGAGTCAAACTCACAATGATGAGAATCAAACAATACCATACAGAGCATACAATAAAGAGAAACAAACAATACCATACAGAGAGAACACACAATTATGAGAAACAAACAGAACGTACAACATACAGTGCAAAACAAACAAGTTAGGTTGCTATAGCATGAGAACACACACACACACACACACAGGATCTAATTATACCAATTGATCACTAAGTCATTGTTTTAAACAAAAGGTGATAGTTATATTGGGTATACATGATCATATAACCTTAATGTGAATTACACGGCTTGCAAGAATTTGCAGAGGTAGCGTTTGGTTCCCTTAATCTCTTGACAGGGAGAGCGTTTAGTAGGGGTTCTAGCCTTCACATTATGACTGTAATAAAACAAACATGTTTTTAGGTCATCAGTACATCCGCATGTCATTATAAACGACAACTGTGTACTTACATTTCCCATTACTTTCATAGAGTGACAGTACCACTTGAAAGACAAACGCAAACTATTTTCGAGTTAAGATAGTTATAAACTAGGGAAAACATACATTTTTACAAACGACAAACAGAACAGTCGAGTCTAGCACATAACAGTAGATGCCTTGGTAGAAGGCTACGTTTAAAAGAAAGGACCATAATGCTAGTCTTATGATTCCTTAATGTATACATCATAGGATATATATATATATATATATATATATATATATATATATATATATATATATATATATATATATATATATATATATATATATATATATATATATATATATATATATATACCAATAGGATCCGACAGGTAATAGGATGTGTGTTCTCCGCTTCATTTCCTGTTCCTTGTTTGGTTGTGGGCTTGGAACGAATTCACCCAATCTATTTTCTATTTCGATTCTATATATATGTATGATTAGTATACATTAAGTCATCATAAGGGTACCAGGTATGGGTCAGGTCATAGGACACAGAGTCAAAGCACAGTTTTTCTAGTACAAAACATACTTTCCAAAATCAGTACTTTTGGTATACAAAACTAGAAACTTGACCAGTAAAGGGTTTAATCCATTTTATTAAACCAGTACAATTTAAAGGACCTTAGGTGAGTAACTCTGTAATACCTTAGTTTATACATCATGTTTATATATAAAACTAATATACAATAGGTAGTTGGATGTGTGCTTTCCGCCTTACTTCCTGTTCCTCGTTTGGTTGTGGGCTTAGGGCAGATTCACCCAATTAACTTTCTATCCGATATTAGATTATATATATCAGTATAAACTAAGCTGTTATAAAAGTAGTCACTGTCGTCACCATTTTATTATAAGAAATATGGGTTTTCTTAAAGAACATTTTCATTAGATATAAAGGAGCCATTACAATTAACTCCATGAGTAACAAGTGAATACACCAGAGTTATATACGACGATGATCTAACAACCAATGGGATGTGTGCTATCCGCCTTAATTTCTGTTCCTCGTTTGGTTGTGAGCTTAGGGCAGATGCGCACAATCGATTGTTTGTTTACTCTGAGTCTTACATAACTTGTATCCACTTAGTACCCATAGAAAGGGTTGTAGTGTCATTTTACTTAAACTTCCATTAAAGTAGGAAATATAGAATTTTCTAGAGGAACAGGCGAACTTTTCAAAACAGAACTTACAACTTACAACTTACAACATTTTACAACTACATGTTACAACTACATTTTCAACACCATTTTACATCTACATTTTCAACAACATTTTACAACTTACTTACATCACTAAAATCTTATGAACTCAACAGCTTAATTGCTGATCAACTCTTTCAAGTAACTTGTATTCTCAGGAGCCTATTAGACAGGTGCTCGTGCTGGGAATTCAGAAGATGGAGCATTATAGCTTCAAGTCTTGTTTTGTTATTTGTTTATGAATTCTATGTTTTGTGAACACACACATTGTAAACACTTTCTTTCTAAATGAAATGGTTGTTCATTACTTGCTTGCCATATACATATCTTGTGATACTAAACATGACGTCCTCCACCCCCGAACGATTCTGCCGTTCCGGTTTTGGGGTGTGACAGTTTTCTGTAACAAATAGGAAGATATTCTGTAACATGATGGGTTTTGATACAAAATATAAGTGTGTTCCTCATAAAAACCACAAGGGAAGTCTTATAAAAATAACAATTTTATTTTTAAGTTTATAACAAAACAAAACCATCTAGGATCCATTTATAGAGGTTAGAATGATATTAAAAACATCCATAGAGTGTTTTAGAATGACAACCTTTGGAGCCTTTGAACCCTTGAGTTTGGGGTGTTGATGAAGACAGAAAGATCAAAGAATATGATCTTCTCTACAAGTATCCACCATCAAGATAAGGCACATAGAATGCTAATTCCTTCTTGTATTATTGAGTGTCCTAAGCCTTTAAGCACTTAACTCAAATATGCACTAAAGAAGACAACTCTAGAGGGCTTCTAATCACCAAACTAACTTCAAAAGAGAGGGATATGGGGAGTAGAGAGAACTTTCGGCCATAGTTGATAAAGTGTAGAAAACTAGTAAACAACTAGCTAAAAACTCATGGAAGACACTCTCTTCTATACTCATGCAAACGAAAAATCAACCCCATATTATAATCTAAAGAAATAACCTTACTTAGGGGCATGAGGGACAAAGGAAGGAGGTTGACAAACAACCTCCGATGCCTTCATCAACTTTCGGGCATGCTTAACAAAAGGAGAAGAATTGTTTAAATTTATAAACTCAAAGTTTATAAAATATAAACTTTGTCTTTAGGTAAAAGACAAAAGGATTCAACTAGTCCAAAAGGTTGTGCATGACTTATTAATTCATACCATTTGAAATAATAACTATTTATACTCTCTTTTAATTATTATTTTCACAAAACAATAATTATTCCCTAAATAAATAAAATAATTGATATTATTTATTAATAATCATATTAATAATAAATATACAAATTGTGCCAACTTGATAAAGGTGTGACCCTATAGGATCATATATTATTAGCAATATCACTCAATAATGATTATTGGTTATATAGATTGAACAATCTGCCTCTTGCAAAATATTCATTACTGACTGACATAGACAATAGCAACTGGCTACTACCCCTAACAACACATGAAGGGTGCCATCTTATCAACAGTCAATTCCAGGAGCTTTAAGCTATAATTGTTACTAAAGGTGCGGTATCAGTTATTCCTTTGTCTCAGACATCATGTTGAACATGGGATATGGATCGCCATCAATCTCATTTAGTGTTCAAATTTTAGTAAGGGCTTAGATGTCTAACACTCAACGAATAAGAGGGAACAAATCCCATCTTGACTACATACGCCTATCATGTAGTTCATGTCAGACCCAGCAATGGCCCTTATGAGTATCTTTTACGGAACAATGTTAAACCATGTCAAAGCACAATAATTCCTACACTTCAAGTCTCAAATATGTATCTCGGGTCAAAGAATACAAAGATACAACCTTTAATCAAAACATTAGTCATGACTACGATCCATAAAATGATTTTGATGCGGTTCAAGTACGTATGAAGTTAGTAGCACCTCTTGCTATTCTCATCTCCATGAGAATTAACCAATGCACTCATCTTAGTCTTACCTCATAGATGCTCCCACAACTATGAATGACTATGGACATTTAGAATAACCTAGTTATTCAAGGATTAAACATGCTAATATAGAACACAATAATTATTTAATGAAAGACTCATATCCATTATATCAACTCATTTCAATATATGTTGCTTGTACTGTTCCAGTATCCAAATACTAAATTTCAATCAAAATACATCTACTTATAACAACAAGGCCCTATAGCACCATCTTGACTTTCACGCTTTAGCTAATGAAGGAGCTTTATTAAGTAGATTTGAAAAACTTGATTTGTATAAACTTTGCGAATACAAACATTTTTCAGTTATATATATATATATATATATATATATATAATATATATATATATATATATATATATATATATTTATACCTTAATAAGCATTTAGCCCTAAATGCTGAATTTTAAGAGGTACAAAGGTTTATGCAATATGTACAATAACTTTATGCATCAAAATCTTATACAGTCAAATAAAAGAAAAAGTCATACGGGCCTTTGAATTGGTATTCCACGTGAATCAGTTAGCCTTTGAATTGGTATTCCACATGAATCGGTCGACACCAACTGTCCTTTATATTAACATCTCCTCTCTCAGTGTTAGGTCAGAACTCGCACGAGCACACCAGAAACCAATAACCACCATCGTCGGATTATTCACTCACCATCATCCTCCTTCTCTCACTGAAAAGTAGAAGCTCTAACGAAAAACCCATTTGCCACTGCCACCCCCATTCACCGGTCACCACCATCACAACATCGCTTACCTGCGTCGGAGGCCACCCTTCATCACTGTTATTGTGGATGTTTGACCGTTAGCTTCTCCTTCCCAACTCAAAAAATCATCAAATCGAGCAGGTAACACATTTGTACCTTTTCTTTACATCCATAAAACCTAGATCGAACGCTCCCTCTACCACCACTTTCACCACCTTCATATCAGTCACTACAATTGGCTGTGATCTTCTACTTATGCTTTCTTATTTATGTTTTCTTCTCCTTTTGCAGGTTTCAATTTGTGTGCAATATACTTGATTGGATATCAGAATTATGGATGTAACCGACCATCTTCACCTTCACCGCCATCATAGATCTCAAGATCCCCACTACCACTTCTCCTTTCTCCGCCATCGGTCTCTCTGTTTCACGATCTAGAAATCCTACTGAAAAATCCTAGCCCCAGCCTGCTGACTGGCACTGTTACCACCATCCACCGCTTTCAGCATCACCGGAGAACCATATAACCTTCCACCACCACACAACCAATAAGCCATTGCTACTAAAACCCTAGATCTCGAAACCGACGACCTTTATTTCTTTCCCTGTCTCACTCACTCATCTTATCTTGTTCGTCTTTTTTTTAGGGAACCAAGAATGGTTAAAAAGAGGAAACCCGACTTCAAAAAGGTGAAGTTAGCCAAATTGAGGCACCATCTTATCCCCACTCTGCAATTTTTGTTTTTATAGTGTCTTGTAAGCTTTATTGATTTTTCTTCTATGTGAAACTCTTTGTCCAGGAGATGAAAGTGGAAAAGATACCACTAGGTTAATTTTTATTAGATGGAGTTGTCTATGTAGCAGGTAAACGTATCACGTTCATGTTACCTCTTTCTACCAGATTTGGGCTTGGTAAACACCATGGTTTTAATCATGTTCTTATTTTTTCTGATTAGGACTTATAAACACCTATACATGTTATACAAACGGTGTTGTTGGTTTTTTTTTTTTGCGTTTTTACTTCATAACTCTTGAAATAGGGTTTTATGATTTCCTAGGCTTGGTTATTGGTATCTCAGGTTCGATTTTGTCTTGATTAAAAGATTAGGATTTACATGATGTATTTGGTGTTATAAGATGCACATTTTTTTCGTTTTTTAATATGTGATTATTGGTGTTATAAGATTCGCATGATGTATTTGATTAAAAGATTAGGATTCACATGATGTACTTGGTTTTATGAAATAGGGTTTTTTAATATGTGATAATTTTTATGAAAACTGATCACAAAACATATCCAGAGCTGTTACAAAATTAGACCAAAATACCCCTATCATTTTGGTGCGGCTGCATCAGTGAATATGTTTACTATTTTGCTGCATTGAGGATTAGTTATAGCAACAACCTGAATTTTGTAATCATAGTCATGTAGCTCAGTAGCTGATGGAAAATTGGACCCAAATACCACTGTAATTGGATGATCTCACACAAAAATAATGTTTTTGCTGCATATAGGGCGTGGTAGAGAATGTTCAGGTATAATCAACAAAATTGAGGATAACTAGGAAACTATATATTCTTGCCTATTGGATTTCCTCCCCTGTTTGACTATTTTACCCCTCTCATTGGATCCCCTGTTTTGGATATCTCACCAGGGTCTTCATGATTCGGTTGCTATTCGAATTAAGTAAACAAGTTGGTTGCTAGCTTTGCATACTCAAAATCCAAAAAGAAAGTTCAAGTCTAACTTAGTCCTTTGGTTCCGTTAATTTTTGGAATCTAACTTACATTTTCACTTCTCTTTTGGATAAAAATGAAGGTAAGATGTCATAACAATAGAACTACATTCATATTTCTTACATTTTGTATTTTCAATTTTGTATGTTTGGTGATGATATCTAATAGGCTTTCTGATGTGACATGAAGCAGCTCATGGGCCAGTGACACCACATCGAGGTAAATTACCATTTTGGTGATATATTTGCAATTTCTAACATTTTTGGAAATAGATAAACGCATGTTGTACCTGGTCTTTTTAATTTATTTGGGGCTAATTGCAAGAAATAGCATCATATTTTCATTTCTTTTTTCTTATAGAATCCCACTTTAATGTTTAACGTTCAAGTGCAAGAAAGAGCTAACTTACTTTCATATATGAGACCGAAAAAACACATTTATACTGAAAAACCGATTATAGAAACTAAATTGATGTTTCTTGCAAACTCATTGAATGAAAGAAAAATCCTCTTGTTTGTAGCCTACAATGATCCAAGGATTATATTAGAAACAAGTGTTAAATCTCATTGTCTCTTCTTCATTATTTTTTATAAATTTAATAGAATTTTATTGATCCTTTTTTTGCAGGTGTAACAGGTGTAACAGAAGTGTTTAGGTTTTTTAATGTTTGGGATCTATGGAGAAGAAAAAGTCAAAATGATTTCTTTCTTTTTCCCTTGACAACATTCGCAAGAGAAAAGTAACATATTGAGTTAATTTTTTTTTTCATTTTATCTTATTGTTAACTTCTATTTGTCTTTCTTATTTGTTAACTTATGTATTTTTTTTTCAATTATTCATTTTTTGAGCAACATTAAGCTGGGTTATATTTTAAATGAAGTGAAAAGTTGAGATGATGAAGTAACTGCATAATAATTTTGAAATTACTCTTTTGGAAATGGATGGGTTTGATAGCAAAATTTTTATCTTATCTCTTTTTTTCAAATATAGATGGTATATATTTTTGTAGGACATATAAGTTACTAAGTTCATACATTTATCCTAATATTTAACTATCAGGTAGTATTTCGTATAAGTTCTGGTGGAGTGGTGGTGTGTGAAATGAGGAAGGTATCTAGAGGGTGTGAGTTGCTTTGGTGGATAAAAAGGGGGTGAGCTCGGGCTCTAAAAGAACTTCCATCAAGGAAAATTGCTACCATACTAAAGGAAGAGGGGGTGTTGAAATCTAAAAAAACAATAAAAATCTAAAAAACAATAAGCTACTGAGTGTTGAAATCTAAAAAAACAATAAAAATCTTTTAGTGTATCAAAACTAATTTATAAGATGAAATTTATTATTTATTTGTTGTTTGTAGTTTGTATTTTTTACTAAATAAATTTATAATAAATGAGTAATATTTAATGCAAACTTCATTTGCTTTGTGATTTTTCAATGTCTTAGTGATAACACTTTTCTATTTTGTTTCATCGTTAATTTATAGTAATTAAGTTAATAACTATAAAAGAGCTAAACATGTTCTGAATCCAAGAATAATGTATTAACTAAAATTTTTAATTTGATGAAATATTGTCAACAATGTAAAACACTTAACTACTTGGGCAAACAATTTAATTGCATTTAGAAACTAATTCTGAAAGAAACTATTTGTCTTTAGAAATTAATTTTTTAAATAACTATTTGCACTCGTCGCTTGGCGCGGGTAACGGCTAGTATATATATATATATATATATATATATATATATATATATATATATATATATATATATATATATATATATATAAGAAAACTATTGAGAATGTATTAGATGCTTAAATATGACTTAGATACCAATACAATAGGATGACTCACAATCATAATGAATTATAAATTTAGCATCTTAGTATGTGGATCTCCAAACAACAATGTATCCTAATTCTGATGTGTAACTACAATCAAAATCTACATGGAACCACTTTCCATGTAACTTTCTCGTCATTGATAATGAGGACACGCCCGATTGTGATTAAAAGTCATCTCAATCTTTTTGGAAGTTCAACATATATGTAATAGTTTAAACATAGCTTTCTTTCAAATACTCCACATGTTAGGAATATTTCTTTAGTTCTCGCAAGTACTTTAGAATGCTCCTTTAAGTCACACCGTGACTTATTCTTGGATTATACTGGCATAATTCGACATGCTCCAAGCATACGACTTATTTGGCCTTTATACATAATCATGAATTATATGATTAATCCAATTGCAGCAGCAAAAGGAACACAATCATATTATCTAGTTCAAAACATCGTAATAGGATTTCGAGGTGTGCTCAAAATCATGTTATGTGGTATTTGACAAGATAGCTCTCAGAGTCCTTTATCTTAAGCTCTTTAAGATCCTTGACAATTAATGCAATTTTAATTAATCTTTTAAGTTGTCATGATGTATCTATATAGATCCTTTTTCCAGGAATTAGTATGTCGACTACATATAAGACTAAGAATGTTACTGCACTCCCACTAGCTTTGTAGAAATCACAGGAGTCATCTTAAATTATAATTAAATTACACTATGTAATTATCTTATAAGAAAGAAAATTCTTATTTTGAGATGTTAGCTTCAATTTGAAAAGATTTACATTCATGTATGTTTCCTCCTTTGAAAACTCACTTACTCTTTATATTCGTAATATATTGAGGAAGATTAATCAAGCTCATACTTGATAATCATACATGAATGCATCTCTATGTGTTTTATTAATTTATGATCAACTATTGAGCAGATTCAACAACAGTTGAAAACTTGCTAGTTCCAAACTATGACGCATTTAGCTTACGGTTCTTTAGCTCTTAAATTTCCATATTGCTCCCACTTATAAAAAAGAACTTTCTAAGCACTTGTATTCTGGAATGAAAATTAGTAGGATTAGTAGAAACTTCATCCTAAGCAGTCATTTAGGATAATCTACAAAAAAAATGCAGTTACTAGATGCTAGATTGGTTAGGCTTATTGTCTAACATAAGCTCTATAACTCCATACTTTTTAGATAAGGATAAACCTTTACATCCTTAGTCTAAGGAAAATATTTAATCTACTTGTTTGTTTTGAAACCTATATATTTAATACATATTTTTTTTGTAGAAAGCATAATTCCAAAATTTTATAAAGTAAATAGTTCTTTAAAACATCATATTGTAGACTACAGGGTCTATGTTTTATACTCTTAAAAAAACTTGTACTATCGACATTCAACCAGTAGCCAGGTGACCCTATCCCACTAGAGAATATGAAGGCCACCTCGAACATAATAAGACAAATCCAAGTGATTAGGTGATCATGTGCCACAAAAAACATACTAATGACGAGTGAGTGTTATTTGATGGAATGGGTTGTGAATCGATTCCACTGCCCCTAAGATGTTCCAAGAAGACTTGATTTACAAAATTCATTTTCTTTATCACAACGAAAGGTTAATGATGGTTTCATTAAGTTGTATTTCAATCTTCACCGTGATACATTTTGATCAAATCAAAAGTTTCAACAATAACGAATAAAAGCCGTCAGCGAAATTGACTTCAATATCTATCACCAAATGTATTCATTGATTGAAAAGATTACACAGAT